TATAATATAATATATATATAATTATATTTATATGTATAATATTATATATTATATAAATATACATATAATATTATATATTATATATAGTATATAGTAATAATTTATATATTTTATATAATATATAATTAATTATTTAATAATATATTAATAATAATTATATATATAGTATGTATTGGTCCCCTGCACTCCCATAAATAAATTGAAATATTTTACTATAAAAAATTCAATATTTAACGAACATTTTCTTTGGTATAATTAACATACAATTACTTCTAGAGTTCCACTTTTATTATCACGAATATACGTGAAATTTATAGATGGTAATTTTAACATAAGTATACCGCCATATAAGTAAAATTATTTTATCTATATTAGAGAAAAAAAAGACAACTCATTGCACGTGACATAAACGAAAATAATGCACTCATTAGATAACATTATTTGAGCACAATGTTCGTAAACAATACTTATAAATATTAAATATAAGTAAGGCTTACAATATGTACATTAAATATTTTTTTTTTTTTTTACTTATTTTAGTGTAATTTAGCATAGTTACTTTTAAATAATAGAAAGAATAAGAAATGTGTTACTTTACTTAACGGAAGACTCTTTGAAAATTCAATAATTCCAATACAGTTAAATTCCATTCTTTTCTAAAAAAAAAATACCGTACAAAGTAAGACTCCAATTAAGATCAATTAATTACACATAATTTTTCTATACATTTTTGAAATAAGAAATTCTTCCTACTTTTTTTCACTTATATAAAACTATTGACACATTTAGAATTGTTGTATGAAAAATAAAAAAAAATAAAAATAAAAAAAATAAAAAGAAAGATAAATTGTTAAGTTATATTTCCTTCACATTTTTATTTTAATAGAATCGAACAATTATTTGAAATAAGTGAAAAGAAAAAAAGAAAAAAACAAAGTTATCCATATAAATGATAGGAAGTAAATTAATTAAACGATACGCAACTACTTATCGTTGGAAATAAATATATTATAATAATAATATATAATATATTAATATAATATAATTATAATATTTATGTATAATAATAATATATAATATATTTTTTAATATTATTATTATATATAAATATTATATATTATT